GGGGGCTGTAGGCGGGGCCGTGTTCACTTTGTAAACGAGCCTGCTCCCCCCGCCTCCCCTCCGCACTATCCCTCGACCATCTCGCACATATTACAATTTACGCCTTACGTCCGGACCGACCGCGGAGGGCGCGGGTCCCCCCCTCCCCTCTCCTCTCCTCCCCCATGCTCTCTGGCCAATCTCTCGGCGCCTTCATCGATCCCCACCCCCTCCGGCGGTCGTTTCGTTTTATGTTCTTGTTACCGTTCTGCTGCTTTTCCTTGCGATATCCTCTCGCCTCGCATCGCCATCTTGAGGTGCCAGGCCAGCAGCGCGCAGGCTGGAAGTACACTCCAGGAAAAAACAAACCACCCCTAAAAAAGTATCTTTGGCGTTTACTGGGTAGTTAAAATCTTGTAACAAAATCGTTTACGTTTACTAAATTCAGGCGAGCATTTTCTCAAACACTTGACAAAACAATTGTTTCTACCATATTTTTCTTCGTGTTTAAGAGTTATTTAAGAGTAATTACTCTTGAGTGTGCACTTTTGAACTGACTTTTCTTTTGCCCCTCTTTTTTTTTGCAGAAAATGATAAAGAGTGCAGCGGGGCGATCGACATTTATGGGGCGCGGGGGCGGGGCTGTATACGTTAGCACGGCTGTGGTGGGAAATGAAATGGCTGAAACGGCCGGGCCGGGCTGGCGCGGGCTGGCGCGGGCTGGCGCTACCTATGGCCTCGCGGCCGCGGGCCTCGCCCTGCCCGTGGCCCCGGCCGGCACGGAGCTGAAGGCTGAAAGCTCGCCCCCGCCGCCGCGCGCTGCTCAGCTGATGCACGCCCCGAGGCTAAAAGTTTCCCGCTGCTCTCAACACCTCCCTTCTGAATAAATCCGCAGTTACCCGGGCGCGCCCGGTTACGCCTTTCTCTCGCACGAGGAAGGCAAAAATTACGGGCCGCCCCGGGAAAACATATAGCGCCGGGGCCGTCCGTGTGGCCGGCCGGCCCGGGTCTGGTCTGGGCGGGGACCTCCGCCGCCACCGGCAGAAATAATTCGCACGAGGATGGCGCCCCGACGGCCCAGAGGGAGAGGGGGATGGCTCCGTTCAAGAAATATACATTTTAGGGGAGAAAAGCCGTGTGTGTTGTTTTTTTTGCTCGTTTTGTTTTTCCAAGCATCACACATAAAATTCACATTTTTGAAAATCTTGAACACCAATATTTCAATTATTTCAATAGGATACCAATAGGTTGCTCAAGGACCCCCCGTCGCACTTCAGAGTGTGCAGGTATACTGCACGGCATGCAGGCGTGTGTGCGGGTTGCCTACCCGCTCGCCCTAAAGGTGGCATGGCCCGCCAGCACGCGCCAGCCTACCGGTGCAGTATGCCGAGTTTTGCCTACAAACCGGCGGAGTCCGAGGGTTATCGGGCCACGCTGATCACGATAGGATTTCAGTATGATTTCAGAGAACTTTTCATACACCATGCACATCTGATTATGTCAATAGTTGTGTTGAACCTATCGGTGTATGAAGCTGAGCTGAGCATTTACCAGCTTTCCACGTCTCATTCAACACATTTTGTGAAAATTGAGACACGACGCGTCGCTACGCGTTGCTCGCCGAGCCGCCGGTCCATAGCGCGAGACCCCCACCCCCACTCGTCCAGGCATCCGCCGCGGTCGCAATCCGCTTCGACTCCGACTCGTCGCCACTTCAAAGGCGAAATTAGAACTTTGGCAAGGCGGTGCTTCTGCTGCTGCGCGGCTGGCGAGGCACACGGCCTTCCAGAGCTCGCCTCTCCGCTCCTCGCGACGCGGTTCGTTCTAATCGCTTTAGAGGGGCGGCGGCGGCGGCGCGCGTTTTCTTCTGTATGTGTTCTGTGCACGCCCCCCACCATCCCCCTTTTCCCCATCCTGCGCCGCAAACGGAAAGAAAATTACTTTCCGAACAGCATTATTTAAGGGATATTCGTCTGAGAAAGGGAAGCGCCACAGGCTGGCTGGCTGCTGCCGAGCATCGCGAGGGAGAGGGGGCTGTATGCCGCCGACACACACGGAGAGGAGGGCGAACAAAAAAAAAGCGGAAAAAGTTTACCCCGCAAATCAGAGCAATAACATTCTTATGGTAAGGTTTCAAGCCCCCTCCGCGCATCTCTCTCTCGGCCGTGCGCATGCTAAATCGAATAACTCCCGGAGCCTCTTCGTGCGTGCGCTGCGTGCGCTGCGTGCGCTGCGTGCGCGGGCCGTGCGTATGCAGAGCAGCAGGCAATCTCACGCGTATTTGCGCGAGCAATGTGACGGAGTCGACCGCACCAAAACGCACCATTTAACGCGGGCGGCATGAATAGGCAGGGGATATACTATACTGGTCGGGTTTGAGACGCATCAAACTTGGCACGCAAACGAAACGATGAGAAAGTGAAACAGAACTTTATACGAATAAAAGAAAAAAAATCATCAAAACGCGACGAACTAATAAATAAACAAAAATAAAGTGATGAAGTGAGGTATGATCTTCTTGATGAACGTTTATCACGTTTATGTAGTACTACACTTACTCCTCAAGAATTGTGGGCGAAATGGACCGCCGCGCCATATGACCAGGCGTGCGAATACGCCTGCGCTCGCTGCAAGGTGGCTCGCTGCTTTCCTTGATCGCCTGCGAGGAAAGTGAAAATATAGCGGATCAGCAAATGAGAAGCTTGTACCGGTGTACCCCCAGGGCTCGAGTTTGTCAGTGCATCTCCGGTACACTCTACCGACATGCACGTTTCGGACAGTACGGTTAACGCGAGGGTTAACGTTCGTACCTGCTCGCGACGAGATCCTCACGTCTATGTTTGAGGAGGATGAGGCCGACCTGGGCGACTGCAGCTCCGGGCACTCCAGGCAGCCTGCACCGTGCAGCCACCCACACCTGCAGGTGCCCGAGCAGCGGCACTCTCCTGGCAAACATAAAACCGGAATCAGAATTAAAAGAGTATAGGTGCAGGTGGCCGAGGACGGCGTACGTATAAAGCCTCTGAAACCAGTAACAAGTACAAAATTTTCTACTCGAGTTAGCCCTCAGCGCGAACGGCCGGTGGCCTATGTCGCACATATGAGGAAAATAATTTGCCAAAAAATGCGCGGGGAAAATGAATTCATTCTCCAGCTTAGTAAGAGGCTCGCTTCCGTACCTTCCGCATCGGATCGGAGTACTCACCCCATGCGCCTGCCCGAAACACACGTGGCGTCGGCAGCAGAGCCGGCCTGGGCAGCGTCGGGGTCGGCGGAAGAGACCCACGAGGAGCGGGGCTCGGATCCCTCTTCGGCGCCGAAGAGGGCTGAGGCTCGATCTCAGCTACCGCGCCCCATGGCCGCCAGAAGCCCGGCGCCAGCGCGGACTCAGCCGGTGCAGCAGGAGGCGATGCAGCTGCAGCTGGTGCAGTAGGAGGTGGTGCAGCAGAAGGTGGTGCAGCTGCAGCCGGTGCAGCAGGAGGCGATGCAGCTGCAGCTAGTGCAGAAGGAGGTGGTGCAGCTGCAGCTGCTGAGGACCTATCCCTACTTGAAAAGATCATACAACGAGGGTTATGGTTATTTCCAAACTGCCCACGCCGAGGTTGCAGACAGATTGCGTTTAAACCTCAAGTCAAGAGGGTGAATCTAACCCCAAAATACTGAGGTGTCAATAAGTATTCGACCCAAAAGTGAAGATGGGCGAACCATACTGCAGCACTAAAAACTAATAGGCGACATTTTCAAACCGATTTCTAATTTCTTTGCGAGTTACTACAACATACCTGCTGGGATCGTCTGGTTCCGAGTCACTGCTCAGGTCGATTATGTCCACCTTCCTCTTCACCACCGGCAACTCCTCCACGGAGGAAGAGGAGCTCCGGCGTCGGCGAGGAGGTAGTGGTGTTTCCCGGCCCTGGCTGCTGCTCACTGGGCACTGGTACTGGTCCTCTTCATCCTCGATGCTCACCTCCACCGGGATGCCTACTACTTCCTCGGCGGGAGCCTCCGCAGTGCAGATAGTGACTAGCACCTCCTCCGCGCTCCTGTGTGAAAATATTTATTGAGTGAAAAGCGACAAAAACTCTAGAGTGTTTCTTTCGACGAGCCGGAGTATTGTGGGACGTATTCCGGATTCGGTGGGCGCATCACGGGTTGGTGGAGAAGGGCAAGCCGAATCCGTATACGCCAGCGCGTACAAAGAGGCACTCGGTACAGGGCAGGGCAAGTCCCGAGACAGGT